CATCAAGGTCCATAGGACTGTATTTAAAACTGGCCAAATTGCTTTAGCACACAGGGCTGAAATTCCAAGTACTTCTCTCCCTCCCAGGCATTAAAAACACAGTCATAATAATTGGAGCAACAAACAATTCTGTCCTCTTTGACAACATCTTCTATCAGCTGCTTGAGGCTCATACACTTTCTCTGTCAAGCAATTCTGGAACAAATTCTTCCCAAGAGGAAAAAAAAAATCCTCCCAGAACTCCAGCAGCGTCACCTGGTGTTTTTTGGAGAGGAGGGTTGTTGTTTTTTTTTGTTTGTTTTTGCACACCTTCATCAGAGGGCTTGCCCAGATTGATCCATTGTACCTTTTAAACACTAGGATAATAATGTTTCGTGAACAGTAAGGATTCAAGTAGCTGAGATAGGGACAGATGGGATCAAGGGCAGATAGCCAACAGTTCCCAGCCCAAAGCTTGTTGTTTGTCCCTCTGGAAAAACATTTGGAGGGGTTGGGAACGTGGAAAACAGAACAGGAAAGCAGCCTGTGAAAAGAGTGTTGTCTTCCTTTATAGACCCCTAACTTCCGTCCAATATGCTGCTCCCTCCCAGTTTTTTCTTTGTGTGTACATATGGTTATAGAGATTGCATCTTAGCCTTCTTGCATCTCATTTGGTCTCATCTAAACTCCCCAGGAGCTTGTTCTGATTTTGTTTGTGAAAGTGTTCCCAAGAGGATAAGCAAGCAAGGAATAATCAAATTATTATACTAGGTGGTATCTTTCAGGATCAGATCCCCATACAATAATAATAATAATAATTTTGTCATTGAATGTATATACACTGTATACACATATAACAAAATTCACAAAGAACACTCAGAGACCAGACCAAAACACCCCCCCCGCATAACAATCCTAAAACCCAGAACCCTGCCTAAGAGCACACAGTATCCACACAACAAACAACACAACAGACCAAGTAATAGTAATACAGTTCAACAACTCACTGCTGGTGATTCTTAAGTTCCTTGTTAAGTTCAGTATCAGCAGTACAGTGGGAGGGCTAATATTATTTGCCCACCTTAAAGTTTGTTACAAGGGTTTCTGGCATAATGCTCTTAATTCTACTCATTTTTTTCCTCTTCATAAAAATCCCAGTCTGGGTAATATAAATATTATTTATTTATTTAAAATATTTTAACCCACCTTTTTCTCATAAAAAAAGAATTCAAGGTGGCTTACATCATTTCAGAAGATAATATCTAAAAGCTAAAAACAGTAAGTTATTCAAATATTTTAAAAGAATTAAATAAACATTATATTTAAAATATTAGATAAAAGCATTACTATCCTTTTTAAAAACTCTTCTTAGACAGCCAGTCACTCAGGGAAAGCCTGCTTGAAGAGAAAGGTCTTTGCCTGCTTGTGGAAGGACAGGAAAGACGGGGTACTGGGGTCCCAAGCCATTCATGATTTTGGACATTCACACCACCACCTTATATTTGGCTCAGTCACAGGTAGGCAACCAACACACTTACGTTGATGTTATTCCCTGACAGCGTATTTGCAGACACTTTTACACCAGCTGTAACTTCTGGATTATTTTATGCAGTAGCCCCTGGTAAAGTACATGAATAACAAGTCAAAAGAGAGGTTACCAGAGCTTGGAGAACTGTTCAGTTTCCAGCTGAAGATAAGAAAAAGCAGTCCCTACTACAGCAGCTGCCTGAACCAGCAGTGACAAGACCGAGCAAAGGAGTGCCACCACTTACAGGTCGGCACTTGGAACATATGCATCCAAAATAGAGCGCCCACTAATTTTCAGACCTGAAAACTCCCATGAACAAGATCTTGCTGGATTCCATTTGAGTTAGTTGGACTTAATTCAACTCAGCATAGCTATTCTTGTTTCCCATCTCCAATCCAGGTTGTGTAACAAATTGAGCTGGATGTCAGTGTTATTCTTACTGACATTCTGACCCCAAAACTGCTGATGTTCTTGCCCAGTCTTTATATATAGATGCAGGCGGGAGGACAGAATAGCATACAATTGCCATGGCAATGGAGGGATGCTTCTCAATGCCACCTCTGACAAGGGTCTTGCAGGCAGGAGTGGAAACAACCTTGACACCAGTCCCCCTGCTGACCAGGTCACTGCAGCAAGATACCAAGATGGATAGCGTTAAGGGCTGCCAAGAGATCCTGTTGTCTCTGACCTGGCAAAGTTAATTCTTCCAAGTGACCAAGGCTGTCTTAACGTGAAAATCAGGCAGGAGAGAAGACTGAAGTGAGTTGAAAAAGACAATGCACATGAAGTGAATTGAAAACTTGAAATAAATAATACAAACAGCAAGGACTTCAGATCTCGCCTCTCTTCTTCTCGCCTTCCCTGCTGCCACTTTTAACATCTTCCCTGATTAAGGCATAGTATTCTTGACTGCTTGCACGCTATTTTTGGAGGGGGGGAGGGGGCTTCTCAGTTGGCCTAATAAAGTTGTCCCTTCAAATATGGATCTAGAAATATGTTTTCGACCAATATGGTTAATCCCTGCTTTAAAAACAAATCCTGAAGATGATGTTGTGGATGGTGTGATTTTACACGAAACACATACAATTCTGGAGGGAAGGAAAAACTGAGGAGCACATTAACTCAACTCTGACTCTGCTACAGATGGAAAAGGCTATGTTTGGAATGTACTTGGTTTCCAATATTTCAAAATGACTGACTAAATCCTTGGCTCTCCTTCCTCCTTTCCTCTCTTTCCCTCTTCTTCTACAGAGCAACCTACAGGACAGATTTCGAGTGACAATCTCAAAGGTAACCAAAGAAGTGGCCCCCTGTGGACCTTAGGCGGTGCGCTGCCTACTTCCTTATGAGCCCATTAAAGTCACAAGGAGCAAAAATTATCCAAGCATTGCCACGTCCAAGGCAAGGATAGCTTGAGAGAAGGAGATAAGGATCTCTTTGTGGATCTCTGGGTGGGTTGCTGATGAATAGCAAGAGCTAACTGTCAGAAATTATTTTCTATAAAAAGAACATTTGAACGGGATTAATACATGGAAAGCACTTGTGAGCTTCGTGTCAGGAGGATCCCCCATTTCTTGGGCTGGATTTGTGCTTGCTCCTTGGTTATTAGTGCTGTCAGAGCCACCGTTTTGCACTTGAATCCTGCTGGTGGTTCTCAGGCAGGGCCAGCAAAGACTTTTTTTGCTCCCTGTGGCCAAGTTCAACAGGTTTTTCTTCTCTAGAAATGGGCAGCTGAATCATATTTCGATGCAGGCAGTGGGAGAGAGCTTCCTCCACAGATGTGCCGAGTCTTTTTTTTAAAGCCAGTGGTGGCTGTGGCATCTTGTGGTGATTTCTCTCGTGAGAGGATGAGGCACTGGAATCAGTAAAACACGCAGAACCCCTTTGTGCCTCTGGATGGGTCGGTGCGTGGCCGTTTCCTTCCACTTCAGTCGCTGAAAGATGGACTGACCCGCAGGTGCGATTTCTCTCAAGGGCCTTCCTGATGTGAGCACACCGATGCCATGAGTGGAGGCTGTGGTGACAGCCACCCTCCTGCTTCCTTTTGCCTTCCACCTGTCTGTGGCCAAAGGGGGAGTGAGTCCTCCAGGGACCACCCTCTTTCTCCCCAGCCTAGCTCCCACCCCCTCCAGGGCCCACAGCTTCCAGCGGCTGCAGCAGGGCTGTGCCTGCCGGCTCTCAAAGGGTTCGTCCCACGCACCATCCTGTGCGGCTTAATGATGACGGGACTGGGAAGGAATGTTCCCGTGGTCACCTCCTGCCCCTTCTTGGCTTTTTCTGAAGAAGGATAATAATACCCACCAGTGAGGAAGGAGCCACTGTCTGTCTTCCTTTGTGTGTGTGTGTGTTTAGAGATGGAGCTTAAAGGGATAGTGGTACTTGGTAAGAGGCCCCTGTTATTTTTCCCTCCTGTGGGTGATCTATAGATTCCTCTGTGCTTTCCAAAGACAAGCTGGGCCAGAGATTCTATGCCTGCTGTTGTGATTTCTCATGTATGTTGGACTTTTTAAAAAATTATCGCTGAGCTTCGCATGTGGTTTCGTTGTTTTTGCTAAGACAACAACCCTGCAAGGCAGACCACTGTTTAACTGATGGGGAGCTGAGGCTGACAGAAAGTGAACTGCCCACGGCTGGAGTTCTGCCCGGCAGAGCTGGAAGAGAGTTTTTGGATCACCGAGTCCAGCCCCTGTGAAGGAACCCCACAGGGGAATCGAACTCCCAACCTCTGGCTCCACAGCCAGGTGCCTAAAAACCACTGAGCCATTCATGCCTACAGCAATGCCCCTATGATTTTGCCACCACATTTGGTGGCTTGCTGCTGGTTGGTGCCCCAAGGAAGGAGCTTTTTGGAGCCTCAGTTCCATCTCGATGACCTCTTGGGCCGCAGGGCAGGGCTGGACAGGACTGGAAGGGCCAACAGGCTGCAGCAGAGAGGAAGTGGGTAAAATGCCAGATCCTCAGCAGGCTTCGTTGCTCCAGAACTGCTTGAGTGAACTAGAAACCACACTGGCATTGAAACTGTTGGTTCTCTTAGGGGGCTCTAGAAAACAAGAAAGAAAGCTTGAAGCCTTATGTGCACAGCCTCCATCTCCTCCCACCCCCATAAGGGGATCTCAGCTTACAGCCCTTCTTTCCTCCTCCCTTGATGAGTATTTATCCACAGATGTTTTCCAGATGTGATGGTCTAGAAGCTGGAAGGGAGGTGACTTCAGTGTGCACGGGGATTGTGGTGTCGCTGTCTCTTTCTCCGTGTGTCTCCAGTCTGTGTTCATGTCGGGCAGTGCTTAAGGGCCAGCAAAACCCCCAATGGTGTGGTGTGAGGGAGACGCTCACCAGCCGGCTCTGCTCCCGCTTCCCAGCTTGCTAACGCCCCCAGTTGTTCCCAACGCAGTGCTCTTGTTGATCTCTGTCCCACTGCCTGCTTTCTGACCAGGCCAGCAGCCCAAGAGTTAAGACAGGGAAGGATCAGTGCAGGGCTGGCTACTTCCTTTAGAGCTTTGGAAGGAACCCTCTCCTTGTGACGGATTTGGAGAGAGAGAGAGAGAGAGCAACAGAGAGCAGGCAAAGCTGCCTGGGACCCAGCCCGGGCGGGGAACCCGTGGAAAAAACAGCCGCAAAGAGAGAGCAAGCTGGGAATGGGGGTAACAAGGTGAGTCGCAAGAGCTGGGACCTCTTTCCACTGGAGGAGGAGGAGGAGGAGACGTTAGAGTCAGCAGCACTTCTGGAAAGAGGGTCATGCGTGTGCGCTGAGAGGATGGGACCTCCTCCACAAGGCCCCAAAGAGTTTGTAATTCAGTTTGTTATTCAACCCAAGCAGCTCAGGTAAGGAGTGGGATTATGACGGTACAGCTGCTCACTTGAATGAGCTCCAGGCCAACCCAGAGCGTAGGTTTGAGACAGGGAGAGAGAAAAGCAAACCGTTGGTCCCTTTTTTTTTAGAACAACCACCTTAAAGATTAACAAATGCTATTGGGCCTAAACTTTTTGGAGTTTAGCCTAATGTTTTAGCACCCTCTGATTAAAAGAGTTTTTTTTCCCCCTCCTCTGTTGCAAAATGTTTCAACATATAATGGCCCTAAGTCACATTGAGGAATAAGTCACTGGATAGTCATCTGAAAGCCATACATGCTCTTGTGACAGCCAGAACATGAGATGTGCCATGTCCAGCCCAGAGCTTCGTTTCTGCGCAAGTTATCTCTCAGGCCCAATGCCTGATGACACTTAACCAAAACAAGCTACATCCCAAACAATGGTCCCTGTGAGATGGGTCGGAAGTGTTTTTTGTCCAAAGTGTCATTTTTGGTGTAAGTCCCTCTCAAACGTACTGACCACAATAGGTGTTAATACAGTGGTGCCTCGCTAGACAGTTACCCCGCATGACAATTTTTTTGCTAGACATTGGCTTTTTGCAATCGCTATAGCAATTCGCAAAACAGTGATTCCTATGGGGGAATTTCGCTGGACCATGTTTGATCCCTGCTTTGCAAACCGATTTTCGCTAGATGACGATTTTGACAGCTCCCTCCGCGCTCACAAAAGAGGTGTTTTCAGCACTTAAGCTTTGCAAGACAGCGATTTAAACAGCTGATCGACGGTTTGCAAAGCGGCTTTCCTATGGCTGATCTTTGCTAGACGACAACGATTCTTCCCCATTGGAACGCATTAAACAGGTTTCAATGCATTCCAATGGGGAAATGCTTTTTGCTAGACAATGATTTTGCTAAACAGCGTTTTCAGTGGAACAGATTATCATCGTCTAGCGAGGCACCACTGTATATGTTGCACAACACTAAGGTTTCAGGCGAGAAACCTTAGTGAGAAACCTCTGCGTATCTTAAAGAGGGTGATGTTTTGGTCATGGAGATGTATGATTAAGGCTCATTTCGAGTTGCAACTCGCTCAAGACATTATTAATTGATAAAGTCCCAGAAGAAGAAGAGGAGACAAGAAGCCATCGCTCTTGAGAGCTACATATGTATAAATAATATTTGGTGTATATGGAATGGTCTGAAAATTACTTTCAGGAGCATATCCTGATTATTACCTGTCATCAGCCACGACTGGGATAGGAGCATCATCTGCAGAAATACACAGAAATGAGGCAATGATCAGGCAGGATGACAAGAGTATTTTATAGAGTGTCTGATCTGGCCATGGTGACACAGTTACATCTCAGATGGATTACTGTAATGTGTTCTATGTGGGGCTGCATTTGGAAAGTGGAAACTTCAGCTGGTCCAAAATGCAGCAGCCAGATTGCTAACTGGAGCTGGTAACAGGGAACATATACCTCCTCTGTTACAGCAGCTCCACTGGCTGCTGATCCATTTCTGGGCACAATTCAAAGGGCTAGTTCTAACCTATAAAGCTCCAAACGGCTTGGGTCTAAGCTAGCTAAAAGTCCGCATCTCCCTCTGTAAGCCTGCCTGGGCATTAAGATAACCAGAGGAGGCCTTTCTCTCGGTCCCACCACCCTCACAGGTGTGCTTGGTGGGGACATGGGAGAGGGCCTTCTCTGTGGCTGCTCCCAGACTCTGGAACTGCCACCCACTGGAGGCCAGACTGGCCCCATCTTGGCTGTCCTTCCTCAAGCAGGCAAAGACCTTTCTTGTCAGGCAGGCTTTTCCTTTATGACTGGTGGCCTGAGAGGGATTTTTAAATGGAGCTTGGGCGCTGTCGTTTTAAATTTGTTTTAGTATTGATTTTATTTTTCTCTTTTTAAAATAATACTTGTTTAATTCTTTTTTAAATATTTGTCAATTTACTGCTTTTAGCTTTTGAAAATTGTCTTTTGATGATGTGAGCTGACTTGTGTCCCTTTGGGGAACAAACAAACAAAGAGCAGCCTCCAGGTATACCATGGGCATACATTATGTGGTGTTCCAAGGTGTCTTTCAATGTGGGTAAACTGACTTCCCAGCCTTTTTCAATGTCTTTCCTTCCAACTAGAAGGGCTGTAGTTCTTCATGACATTAAATGAAATTCAGCAAGTTCTCAGTATCTAGCAAAGTCAAGAGAAAGATCTGGGGGGGGGGCTCAGACTCTCTCTGTGTGTGTGTGTGTGTCATAATCCCACTCCTTACCTGATGTTGACTAACTTTTCGCATGACACGTGCAGTTGCTTTATTGACCAGCTTACACAATGGAGGGATCCTTTCAAAAAATATAACTGATGAGACAGCATATGGATAATAATTTGATTTAAACAAGAACTTCAAAATGAAAAGATTATGAGATGAGAAGCATTTTAAACTTTAAAAAAGAGCAATATCAGACAATCACGAATACAGATGTCTCAGTCTGATTATTTATCTTCAGCAATTGTGTGCCAAAATAGCATGTATGTATTGCCTTTTGAAGCAGTTTGCTTTATGTCCCGAAAAAGCACATTTGAAGGTCTTGTTTGTGCTTTTTGCTCCAGGTGTTGGTGAAGGAGAGAAAGCAGAAGTGAGCCACTGCAAAACAAACAATACATCATATGTACACTCTGATCATTCTGATTTGTTAGTAGCCTTTCGAACAAAGCCGCTCAACCAAACGCCAAGTTTGGCTTCACATTTGGATATACCTGTGGCTTGTCTTCATACCCTCAGGCAAAGCCCAGGATGTCCATCACTGGGACCTAGTGCAAAAATCTTCCCTAGAGCACAGATAGGTGAGCAGTTGTGCCCTCGCAAGACAAATTCCAGTTTACCCACCCACATGTTTTTATACGTTCATGTTAATGGGGTGGGAGAGAAGAGAGAATTCCAGGATCTCATGGTAGAGCAAGAATACAACAATCTTTCTGAATCCATAGCTGAGAGAGTGGAATACAAGTCACCAGCTATTCTTCTTCCTTCCAGAGGTGGTAAAATCAGTGGACCCAAAAGCCCCAGACCCTGATCCCCTGTTTTCCTGGGCCGTTTTCCTTCATCGTATGTCCTGATCCCATCCTTACCATGAGTCAAATTTGCTCAGGATGGAGTGATGCTCATTCTTAAAAGCTACTGAGTGTTCCCCCCCCTTTTTTTTCCTTTCTGCAGGAGCAGTACCTGGACAAACAGTTCTCCATTAACTATCCCTCAAGGCAAGAGAAGATACTGTGCTCAAGGCTAGGGAGTACTATAGCAGTGACCTTTACCCACCTCTTGGCTGTTAAATGATTGACTAGTTAACCCAGGGTAATAAATCCTAAGCCAGGGTATTAAAGGCATGCGGTGTCTTAACTGAGCCTTCCTCTCACAGACTCCTTCCTGGCACCCCAACCATGGCCAAAGGCTTCTTCATTAGCAAGAATTTGGGCATTGGCTTTATTGTCCTTGGGCTGGCTGCTGTGGCCACGATCATCGCCCTTTCGGTTGTCTACGCGCAGGAGAAGCAAAAGACCAAAAATGCTGTGTCTGCCACGACCCCAAGCAGCTCAACAGCAGTCAATGCCGTCAGTACCGGTGGCGCTGGCACAAGTGGCATCGGCCCCAGCACTACAGGCAACGCTGGGCCCAGCACTATGGGCAACGCTGGCATCAGCACCACCGGCAACGCTGCCATCAGCACTACAGGCACCGGCAACACAACCCAGCCAGACAATCCTTGGAACAGCTACCGGTTGCCCAAAAGCCTAGTCCCTGAGCACTACAATGTCACCCTCAGGCCGTTCCTGACTCGCAACGGTGATGGCCTCTACGTCTTCCATGGCAACAGCACAGTGCGCTTCAGGTGCCAGAACAGCACAGACCTCATCCTCATCCACAGCAAAAAGCTGAACTACACGAGCCAAGGGGGATTCCTCGCCTCCCTAACTGGAGTGGACGGTGCCGTGCCGCCTAGCATCGCTCAAACGTGGCTACAGGAAAACAGGGACTACCTGGTGGTACAGCTCGGTGGGCTTCTCCAGCAAGGCCAAGCTTATGAACTGCACACCAGCTTTATTGGCGAGCTGGCAGATGACCTGGCTGGCTTCTACCGCAGTGAATACGTTGAGGATGGCCAAACCAAGTAGGTGGAAGGAAGTGGTGGGAGGGAAATGTTTCATGGGTGGGTAGGGGTGAGTTGTCCCCAAGCAGCAAATATGGCCCACCAGCAAGCCTACATGTCTGCGAAAGAGCAAGGAAAGAACCTGGAGGCTGAGAGTGGTACATAATTGTGGGAAGGTGGCATCCACTGGAGCAGCAGGGGTAAAATATGCAGGTGGAAGGAGACAGGAACCCACCTGGCCTCTAGTTGGTAACCCTTATAGAAAAGCTTGGAGGATAAACCCCCGAGGTTGAGGAACCTCAGCAAGAAGGGACAGTTTGACTCCTTCCTTCTATTCAAAACCATCTGCTGCCTCTTCCCACTGGTTTTCAGCTCCTTTTTTGATCCTCCAGCAGCCATACGTTGCTGTCGGCATGGCTGCTGCGGCTGCTTTCTGTGCTGAGCTGTCTCACCAAGGTGATTTATCCCTGATGTAACTCTTGAATGTCAAGCTCTGAGAGAGAGCAGGTGCTTCCAGTCCCTCGTTCCTGCCCTTTTCCTTTTGGCTTATGTCAGGAAGAGACATTTGTAGGGGCTCTGCAGGAAAGGGGCAGAATGGCTTTGCAGGAAGCTGATGCACTGCGGAGGACTCCTTGAAGAAATGCGGGGCCAAGCTCTGGGACCCAGACCTGTGCCAGCCCAGGGAGAAATTGCAGAGATGTACCTCTGAGCATGGGGCCTCTTTGCTCCTGCAAAACCTCAGCATTCTTATTTCCTTGTTCACTCTTGATGAGCAGCCTCCCTCTTTGCTTCTGTCAGACGCAAAGGTGCACTCTGGCTGTGCATGTATGCGTGTGTGCATGCACGGGTGCACACTTGTGTGAAATGATTAAATTCTGACATGCAGCTATTGATTGTGACTCCATGGCTAAGCCTCCAAGTAAACCCACAAATACAGTCTGCCATGTTGAGCCCTGTCAACAAAGCAGGTCCCGCAGCTTTCTGCTCCACTAGGCAGAGATGGTTGACCAGGCCATTGTCCATGGCCGCAAAACTCCAAAATACATTGTGCAGTAAAGCAACAAGGAGAACTCAGTAAATTGCTGGGAATTTCCTCCATTCCTGTTGCAGTGAAGAAGGAAGCTTAGAGGGGAACTGACAGGGAAAGTAATTGTTCTTGCCAATGGAGACTGACAACGTGACCCTGTGAGCCCTATGTCTGTACACTACTCTGCCTGTCCGTGTGTGTGTTCAAGACCTAGAGAAGCTCCTAGATGGCTGGTGGGGCATTTTTTTTTTTAAATTAAGGTGGTGGTGCTAGATATTGTGGCAAGCTCCATGTGTCGAGCAGTCTTTTTGCTCTTCCTCCAGGGTGTTGGCCACCACGCAGATGCAAGCCGCGGATGCCCGGAAAGCCTTCCCCTGCTTTGATGAGCCTGCCATGAAGGCCAGCTTCTCGGTGGTGCTGATCCATTTGTCTGACCACAAGGCCCTCTCCAACATGCCTGTCCAAAGTAAGGGAATAATGGGCAAAGGGGGAGGAAAGGTACACGCTCGGTGCAGGATTAGAGGAAGCCGGGGCACCTTGGCCTCCTCCCCACCTATCCCTCTTTTCTTCTGTCAAGGGGGTAGTAAATGCTTCCCTGAAAGTCAAGAGGGGAAAGTTGGGGGGGGCGGAGAAAGGAAGGCGAGAGGGATGAGGGAAGGATTGGTCTTCAACTCTGAAGGCCTCTTGGTATCTGCAGGAACTGGACCATTTCCCCAGTGTGTTGAGCCTGCTGTGACTGCATGCTTGTGGGTACATGGGGCCAGTCAGTGGTACTGGAACACCAACTGAGGATTTGAGTTTGACGATCCAGGAAACTCAACGGTTGCAATTCTGTTGGCATTTGTGGGGCTGAATGGGGGCGACCCACAGAAGCTGCCTGATACTGAGTGAGACCCTGGGTCCATCAAGCCCAGTGTGGCTGATATTGCTTAAGGGCGGCAGATGCAGCACTATTCCAAGGATTTCTGGTGGGTTTTTCTAGTCTTGCCTTGAGGATCACAATAGAATTGTAGAGCAGGAAGGGACCCCAAGGGTCTTTGGGTCCAACCCGCTCCGTATACAGGATACGCACAGGTAACATATCCCGGACAGGTGGTCTTCCTACCTCTGTTTTAAAACTTTAGACAAAGAAGAGTCCACTGCCTTCCATGGCAGTCCATTCCATTGCTGAACAGCTCCGCAGTTAGAGCAGCCTGGAAGTTCTTCCTGATGTTTATTCAGAGTCTGAAGCTTTTGTTCTGTCTGGGAAAGAGGCACTCCATCCCTGAGCAGTGGGTCCTCGGTTGTGGTGGGAGAGTGGTTGGGTGGGAAGAACCTGTCTCTTGTGCTGCACCCCCCCTCCTTTCCTCTCCTCCGGGTGCCAGTGTCAGTGTCGGTCTGAGACCACAAGCCGAAGGGGTGGCAGTTGGGCTGGAGGATAATGCACCTGACAGGCCCAGTTCTCCTTTCTTCTCCTCTCAGGCAGTGAGCAGATGATCATGGAAAATGGGGAGCTCTGGAACAGGACCACATTTGAGACCACCGTCAAAATGTCCACCTACTTGCTTGCCTTCATTGTCAGCCAGTTTGACTCTGTGGATACGTATGAGGGCACGATCCAGGTAGGAGAAGTGAGGGAGTCCTTCTAGGAGGGTGATTTCTTTCTTGGCCTCCTCAGGAACCTTGAGGTCACAGGGCAGGTACCTCTAAGCTGGCCATGTTCTGGGCATGGCAGGTGGAGTGGACCCAGACTTTCTTCTTCTTCTTCTTCTTCTTCTTCTTCTTCTTCTTCTTCTTCTTCTTCTTCTTCTTCTTCTTCTTCTTCTT